CCACTACACACAGCATTAATTTTTATTTTATTTTTTGTAAAAGTATATACTTACTTAAATGGGGGTGATATGAATGTTGCTCTTAGTTGATATAATTTATATTAAATCAGGGTGTCTGTAAATGGGTATATATGTATATATATTTTTTTTTTAAAACAAAGAAGTAGAGATAAAAACATATGGTAAAGTACATGTTCTCGCCAATTTTGGCATAAGTTATAGTAATATTCAAGATTTTGTAAGCAGGCTGTTCCAAAATGTCTGTTCAACAAAATATTCAGACAATTATGTGGTATGTGAAATACAAATCAGTTATTTTCATGCAGTGTTAGTTCTGACAAGTCCAACATACGTAGTTATCATTAAACTCTACAATTAATTCTCTGTATATAAGCTTGGTCATTTTAGCCAATATTGAAATTGTGAAACTATAAATACTACGATTCTGAATGTACTAAGTGTATATTCACTAAATTTGACGATATTTTAGTAAACATTACAAGTCTGTTGTATGCAGAAAGTCAGATTTTTTTGCTAAAGATTTGTCTGTGAATTTATGAAGTCTCTACTGACTTAGTCTGAGTAAAAGATGATTTTCATGCTAAAAATTAAAGCATTTCTTTTCATCTTACAGTTTTTATGTTTCAATTACATAACCTCTAGGACCTCCTAAATGAATATCAAACGTGTTACTTTAGAAAACTTTATTTGTTATTTTCACACAAACTGTAGCAAAATTATGTGTAGGGAAAGTTGAAAAATGTGAAATAAAAACAAAAATACTTTATTTTTTAAAATGGCTACAGATTGTAAGAAACACTTAGAAGTATTTATCTTAAGAGCTTTAGGCTTTTTAACTTTTCACTACTGCTTTCATTTAACTTCAGCGATTTATTACTCTTAGAACTGTGTCTAACTACCATGATAACCAATATGTTACCCAGCAAAAGTGTGAAGAGTTTATAAAATGGAAAATGTTAACATTCAAAAATGTCCTTTTCATTGGTTAAAACACAAATTTAATTCTCCACTTCTCCATTTCTGCACTTTGATTTTCCTTTTGAAATTTTTGTTCCTCCGTTATATGAGTTTCACAGTGTCCACCAATTAGATACACCAACTATATATGTTTATAGGCCAGAATATAATTTAAAAACCTTCTGTCTTCATTTCTTGAGAAAATAAATTCATAAAACCTATTACAGAATCTCCTCCTAAATCTTCATGGTTTTAAAACCACTTATTTGTTCACACCTACTTGTCAATGATAAAGACTTAGATAATATAAATTGTTTTATTATAAACTATATTTTAACACTAAGTTTATTGACATGTTGCTAACAAAGTAGTTTAATTAAATTTTTAATGTAACCGTGTAGAAAGGTTGTGACATGCACATTTAGACCCACTCATGTCCATTGTGTTAAGTAATGACATAAAAAGATGAACAACACAAGATGTGTGTATTTTAAGAGAAACGGTAAGTGACCTTGTCACCTTCAGAATTGATTTGTTGATTTTATATACCTGAACATGTTGAATAATTTTCACTTCCAACAGATGAAAGTTAATAATATTATTGACATGTTGATGAAGTATTAGAATAGAATGGCAGTGTGGGACCATTATCCTGAGATTTGTGTTCCACACCTAGTAAAGTTGTTAGACTATTGTGATGTATAGACTTCGAATCCAACTGTACTTTAATGGCTCGGTAGTAAGCCTGAGCTTATAATGCAAAAAATTGGTACTTACAGTGAGTACAATATGTTTACCTTTGTGCTTAATAGTAAACAATAAGTCTAGGTACGCATGCTTGTATCAGAGTTTACATCATGGATATAATTAATGCCATTTCAGTATACACACTTGTCAGTGTGCTTGATATTGATACCTGCCAAATTATTCTGAAGTCAACAGTGATAAATTGAAAATGATGTAAAGCCTGAAGGTACATAGACCAATGTGTGCTTTACTGGATGCTTTTATATTTTATTTGTTTAGAAGTTATTAATTTTAAAATATATATATAACCATTTGTAGACATTCAGTACGTGTTTTATTCTAATTAAAAAGAGCTGTATTCATTATTTCTTTACATGAAGGCTGATGTTTGGACATGCCATAACAAGCAGAGTATTGGTGAGCTGTGGGTGAACCTGTTGCGTTTCTATAGTTTTCCCATGGAGCATATAATTTCTTTACGCCGTCAAAATCCCCTAAAGAAGAATGAGAAGAGCTGGGCAAAACGTCACTTTGCAATTGAGGGTCAGTTTAAAACACTTGGAGTAGTATATCTTTGTAAATGTTGATAAAGTTATATAGATCAATACATCTTAATATTTTAAGTAATATAAATGCTTTTAAAATACTTTTGTGTGCTCTTTATGAATGATAAAGTGATATTTGCTATGTGATAGAAGTGTCAAATTTTTATGATGTTAACTCAGAACTTGTTGTGTATTAATATTGATCTGAATATTGTGTTTTAATTTTAAATCTGATAGTTGTCTGTTACATTACTGTTAACTGCCCCTTTTAAGATCAATTCATAATGCCATCCCTCGGGTTAATTTAGTGAACAATCTTACTGGAAAACAAAATATTTGGGCTGGCATGGCCAGATAGTTAGGGAGCTCGACTCACAATCTGAGGATTGTGGGTTTGAATCCCTGTCCCACTAAACATGCTAGCCTTTTTAGCCAATGGGGCATTACTATGTGACAGTTAATCCCACTATTCGTTGGTAAAAGAGTAGCCCAAGAAATTGGAGGTGGGTGGTGATGACTAGCTGCCTTCCCTCTAGTCTTATACTTCTAAATTAGGGACGGCTATCGCAGATAGCCCATGTGTAGCTTTGCCCGAAATTCAAAACAAACAAAATATTTGGGTTTGTTTGCATTTGTATTTTAATCAGTGTACACAGTGTAGGTTTGAAATTTATAACAGGTGCTTATGTCTTGCTTCTTTAGTTAGACAAAATGTTTGTCTCTTTGCTAAGGTCTCAGTATAGGGACCAAAATTTTGGGTGTACTCAAACCCTTTCTTTTTGCCCATTTGCCACAAATGTATAATTTTTCAGTTATAAAATGAATGGCACACAATGACTTGTAGGTCTTTACAGAAAAATTATTAGTGATATGCTATTATCTCTCTCAACATGGGCTTGGTCAATTTGACCAACCACGTGACCTCTTTGTACTCAATTAAAATCTTTATAGGTTTACTACTTCTAACTTTCAATATAGTGTGTGTGTATATCTTCACAAAATTTGGCAGTCTTTCAGTTCATATTACAAGCCTTTCACATAC